CACTAAAAAGTTGCTTTTGGATTCGTTAACTAATTTTAAGAAAGTGTTTCTTTTAATTAAAAGTAATTGGACGAGCTTTTAAAGAAAACTCATTCAACATGACTTTCTCTAAAATTACTTTTGTAATGAAATACTTTTTTTTTGTCAAAAAAATTAGTCTTAAAAAAAATTAAAATAAGTTCCTCCAAAGATTCTGCTTTGTCATGCTTGTTTCTTAAGGATAAGGTAAAGTCTTGGTCCCACCCCATGGGTGTGGATATTTACCTGATCAAAAAAAGCCATGAATGCCAAATGGAACTTATAATTCCAAGTTGCCCTTTTCTGTGTTTTCCGTTTTCCACATTTTGGCGATTGAATCGTAACCCAGCTTTGTTTGAACACAACTCGGCTTTGAGTTCAGCATGTGGTCATTGGATCGACGTCGACCCGCGTTCCTCTATTCTATTCTCAGGCAATAATAAGCCTAGCTCTCTCTATTAATTGTTTGTGTGTATATGCGACCATATATATATATATATATATATATATATGTATCAAAATGGATGAAAAATGACCTTTTGCACAATGAAAGTGGAAGGTAGGGGTAAAAAGTCAAAAAATGAAAGGTAATGAGGTTTTCTACAAAAACCTTGAAGGGTAAGAATATTTTGTGCCAATAACGTTTTAAAAAATATAGGTGGATGAAAGGTCAGTAGAACTTTGGCACTAAAAAGTTGCTTTTGGATCTGTTAACTAATTTTAAGAAAGTGTTTCTTTTAATTAAAAGTAATTAGACGAGCTTTTAAAGAAAATTCATTCAACATGACTTTCTCTAAAATTACTTTTGTAATGAAATACATTTTTTTTTCAAAAAAATTAGTCTTAAAAAATTAAAATAAGTTCCTCCAAAGATTCTGCTTTGTCATGCTTGTTTCTTAAGGTTAAGGAAAAGTCTTGGTCCCACCCCATGGGTGTGGATATTTATCCGATCAAAAAAGGCCATGGATGCCAAATGGAGCTTATAATTCCAAGTTTCCCTTTTTCGTGTTTTCCCTTTTCCACATTTCGGCGATTGAACCTTAACCCAGCTTTGTTTGAACACAACTCAGCTTTGGGTTGAGCATGTTGTCGTTGGATCGACGTCGATCCGCGTTCCTCTATTCTGTTCTCGAGCAATCATAAGCCTAGCTCTCTCTATTAATTGTTTGTGTGTGTGTGTGTGTGTGTATATATATATATATAAACGGATGAAAAAATGACCTTTTGCACAATGAAAGTGGAAGGTAGGGGTAAAAAGTCAAAAAATGAAAGGTAATGATGTTTTCTACAAAAACCTTGAAAGGTAAGAATATTTTGTACCAATTACCTGTTAAAAAATATAGGTGGATGAAAGGTTAGTAGAGCTTTGGCAATAAAAAGTTGCTTTTGAATCCGTTAACTAATTTTTGGAAAGTGTTTCTCTTAATTAAAAGTAATTAGACGAGCTTTTAAAGAAAACGCATTCAACATGACTTTCTATAAAATTATTTTTCTAATGAAATAATTTTTTTTGTCAAAAAAATTAGTCTTAAAAAAAAAAATAAGTTCCTCCAAAGATTCTTGTTTGTCGTGCTTGTTTCTTAAGGTTAAGGAAAAGTGTTGGTCCCATCCTTTGGGTGTGGATATTTACATGATGAAAAAAGGCCATGGATGCCACATGCCAAATGGAGCTTATAATTTCAAGTTTATCTTTTCTGTGTTTTCCGTTTTCCACATTTCGGCGATTGAACCTTAAGCCAGCTTTGTTTGAACACAACTCAGCTCTGGGTTGAGCATGTTGTCGTTGGATCGACGTCGACCCGCGTTCCTCTATTCTGTTCTCAGGCAATAATTGTTGGAATTAATTGAATTTGACTTGGGTTTAAGATATTAAATGTAATATTTAATGATGTAGGCCATTACAATGAATTTGGGTGAATTGGAAAAGTCTCTAATATAAGCCCATATGTTGATAAGCACATTTTAGTGTTTTTATATGGAAAGGAGTCCCACATCGAAAGTTTACAAGAAAATAGTTTTGTTTATATAGTGAGTTGTGTGAATAATATATAGTTTAATAAGTTATCTACCACTTGGCTAACTTTAGCTAGCCAAAGGCTAGTCACAACTAGAGTGGTGCTTTGCACCACTAGCATCGCTCCTCGGACCCGGACCCGGACCCGGTCCCGGCACGCGCACGTCGCAAACTACGCATGGGCGCTTTTGAGGCGCACTTGACACTTGGCACGTACGCATCGCCACGAGGAGCTGGGGAGCCTTATAGTTTTCGGAAATGGACTCGTGGTTCGATGACATGGCAACGCAAAGCTCGGTGAGTTAGCATTCTATGTGGTGCACGCGTGGTAGGTCGCGTCCCTTCGTCCTGCGTGGCGGTTAAATGTACGCGTGGCATCCGCATGGCTGTGATTGTTCAGAAATTGGTGAATAGGCATGATGAATGGACACTTCACTTCATGGTTCAATCTGGGCCGTCAGATCATGAAAATAGTGCGATCCAATGGCTAAGACGAATTAGATCAAGTGGTGCACCAGTTCTTCCACATATAGTTCTTCACAAGAATAGTGGAAATGGAAAACAGCAGTTAGAATATTCCCAAATTATTGGTAGTTTAATGTACCTGATGAATTGTATTAGACCTGATATAGCTTACGTGGTAAGTAAGCTGAGTCGTTACACAAGTAATCCAAGTAATCAACATTGGAATGCATTACTTAGAGTTTTGAGATACTTGAAACGGACGAGAGAGTATTCATTACATTATGGAAAATATCCTCCAGTAATTGAAGGATATAGTGATGCCAATTGGATATCAGATACAGACAAGTCAAAGTCTATCAGTGGCTATGTATTTACTCTCGATGGTGGCGCTGTATCATGGAAATCTTCTAAGCAAATGTGTATAGCTCGATCTACTATGGAATCTGAGTTTATTGCTTTAGACAAAGCAGGAGAAGAAGCAGAATGGTTATGACATTTCATAGAAGATATTCCTATATGGCCAAAGCCTGTACCGGCTATCTGTATTCATTGTGATAACCAGGGCTCAAAATTTTGTGTATAACGGTAAGTCGAGACATATATGTCGCAGACATAACACCGTTCGACAGTTGCTCTCAAATGGAACATTATCAATTGATTTTGTTAAGTCAAAAGAAAACTTAGCGGATCCGTTCACTAAAGGGTTATCTAGAGAGCGTATAGACTGCGCATCGAGGGAAATGAGTTTAAAGCCTAAAACCCAATGAGTCATCTTAGTGGAAACCTAACCTGGCAACTGGAGATCCCATGGACTAGGTTCAATAGGAAAACTAATTATGAATGACTCGATAAGAAGCACTTAGGAGTTTAACTCCTTCCCATTTTTATGATGCAAAAGTGCTGACTATGAAGTGTATTAAGGATAAGGTTTGCTTTTAATGATGACTATAAATGGTACGAATAATTACAGTAGGGTACTCTTTATAGTACATCACCTATGTTAGTGCGAACTTGGCCGGTTCTATGAGAATTTACTTAGGCGAATTCTCTAAAGCACTCGCAGAACCCAAGTAGTTCAGGGCCGAAATAATGAACACAATAAAGAACCAAGTTTGATATGAGAGATAATGTGTTTGGTCTGTTGTCTGAGCTTGCAATAACGGCTGACAGTTCAAAACGTTGCGTTCACTGATTAGCCAAGTAAGTTTGATAGATTCTTATAAAGAAGGTTCAAAGCGAAAGTTACCTATCTTGATGCGTTATCTCTCAAATAGTACTCTTCTTCCGTCTTCCTTGATTTGAGTCGACTTTTTCCATTCATGTGGGGAATTGTTGGAATTAATTGAATTTGATTTGGGTTTAAAATATTAAATGTAATATTTAATGATGTGGGTCATTACAATTAATTTGGGTGAATTGGAAAAGTCTCCAATATAGGCCCATATTTTGATAAGCCCATTTTAAGTGTTTTATATGAAAAGGAGTCCCACATCGAAAGTTTACAAAAAAATAGTTTTGTTTATATAGTGGGTTGTGTGAATAATATATAATTTAATAAGTTACCTACCACTTGACTAATTTTAGCTAGCCAAAGGCTAGTCACCACTAGAGTGGTGCTTCGCACCACTAGCATCGCTCCCCGGACCCGGACCAGGACCCGGACCCAGTCCCGATCCCGCCACGCGCACGTCGCAAAGTACGCATTGGGCGCTTTAGAGGCGCACTTGACACTTGGCACGTACGCATCGTCACGAGGAGCTGGGGAGCCTTATAATTTTCGGAAATGGACTCGTGGTTCGATGACATGGCAATGCAAAGCTCGGTGAGTTGGCATTCTAGGTGGTGCACGCGTGGTAGGTCGCGTCCCTTCGTCCTGCGTGGCGGTTAGATGTATGCGTGGCATCCGCATGGCTGTGATTGGTGAACAGGCATGATGAATGGACACTTCACTTCATGGTTCAATCTGGGCCGTCAGATCATGAAAATAGTGTGATCCAATGGCTAAGACGAATTAGACCAAGTGGTGCACCAGTTCCTGAAATGTCACACACCTATTCCATGAGACACTTCAATCTCTATAAATAGAGAACCCCAGATTTGTTTTTGACACACCGAATCAATTACAAATTCAATTGATTTCTAAATTCTTCTCTCTCTATATTCTGCTTTAAAAAAAAATTAATCTTATATTTTCGTGGTTATTCCGTTCGAGTACGATCTTTCATTGATTTGATCGACAAGGTTAATATTGTGCATTATCGATTTTGGAAGGAGCGTTGTATATTGGGAGACAGACGTCCATAATCCCGTTTGCACTTCATTGGGGGGACGAAATCTGTCTTAAGGATATTTACTTTGGCATACCTCGCTTCATCTACTTTTCTATTTTTTTCCTTATTTTATTTATTCTTTTGATTGCATTTGTCGAATTACCGACAACAATAATAAGCCTAGCTCTCTCTATTAATTGTTTGTGTGTATATGCGACCATATATATATATATATATATATGGTCGGTGACTTGCTTGTTACATACATTTTTCTACCCTTTAAATATAATCCCAAGTTTGAATAGTGCGGTTTCGTCGCAGTTCAGATAGTCAGTTTGGATTGGATTAACACAAGTCTGCTACTGGTTCTATTCTGCGGAGGAAGAATGTTCGGAAGCAATCGTAAGTGTTTGCTATCTTTCTATGTACATATTTTATTTTCATTATTGATTGCGTTTTCAGTTATATGTTTAAACCGATCCTTGTGAGACCTTGCTCTTTTTCATTTTTTGTTAATTTTTGGTTTCCTCCTGGTTGTTAATAATGTGAATACTTTGGCACTTCAGTTTGGAGATTCTTCTGGAAATTGCTTATTATGGAAGGAATGACTTGGTTTAGATTTTAGTTTTCAGTGAGAATAAAATACTGGGAATATCTTTTCTTGATTTTATTTCAACGAGAAAAGGTGAAAGAAATGAGTGTCCAAACATAATTGTGGGTGAAAACAATTAATACTCCAACTTCTCATGATATTCTACTACATTTGAGTAACTTTTGATATATTTCTTTTGTTGGGGAAAATTATAGATTTTTTCACTAGTTTTCTGTTTATTTCTCTTTCCTCCATTAAATTTAAGTTTTGAGACGTTGCAAAATGTTTGGTTTGACCTGACTGCACCTTTATTAAGCCTTACAGTGGGCGTCTTCATCAGCGATCTGTGTAATTGTAACTCATTAGCTAGTAACGACCTTGACTTTTAGTTGTTAACGGCCCGCATCCATCATTTCTTTTATCCTCCCATTTACAATTTATGTGAATATATTGAATGTACACACAAAAATTGTAAATTTATTTAATGTTTTGTGAGTGAATCGACGTAAGTTTATTTAATGTGTTTGTGAGTGAATAAATCGTTGTTGTCTGTCCATAACCTATTTCATGTCTGCTAATTTTCTGGCGCATCCAACAGCCTTTGGGCAATCATCTAGTGCATTTGGGTCACAACCAGTTTTTGGGCAAGCCAGTAATGCTAGTAGCAATCCATTTGCTCCTAAACCCTTTGGCAGTACAAGCCCTTTTGGTTCACAGACTGGGGGTTCTATTTTTGGTGGCACATCTACTGGTGTGTTTGGTGCCCAATCTTCTTCTCCTTTAGGTTCAACTTCAGTGTTTGGTGCTTCTTCGTCCCCTGCTTTTGGAAGTTCAATGCCTGCTTTTGGAGCTTCTTCAACACCTGCTTTTGGTAGCTCATCATCAGCATTTGCGGTAAGTGCATTTTCAGAGTAGCAAATTTTATTTTCTTTCCTATAATTCTCATTCCATCATTATGTTATCAGCCTATAATTTGGTATTAGGTTATAGAACACTTATGGAAGATGGGCAGTTGCTATTTTCTTGGAACCCCTGAATTGAATGTGCTATGGTGCAAAACATTATTGCCTCAAAATAAATTCTGTTTTAAATATTTCCACAATATCTTCTCATGCTAAATACACTTCGCGTGTTTTTGTTTGGGGGCAAAAAGTGATTGGAAATTGAGGAGACGCTGCTGATGATTGTTGAGGAACGAAGTTGGAAGGAAAAGAGAGTGGAGCTTGATCACTTCCTACTAGCCCACTTATCCCTTTTGTGTCCAAATTAGAGGATAGATGAATTAATGGGCTAAAATGACTAAAGACAATTATAAACTTTGAGCTAAGATAAGAAGAGTATTGTAGTGAAGTACAATTAAAATGCTTTTCTTTTTTTTCCTTCCACCAAATCAGTGAAGTGTATTTCTTTTGTTTTTCGACAATGTCTTTAGTTTTGGATTTCTTTGTCTTTCTTCTGCTATCTCTAGCACGGCCTGACTTGGCATTGTCAACTTGTGCTGGTTTTTTTATTGCATTGGACTTTGTGTACTCTCCTCTTTCTCATGCCTCTGGGGTAGTTGGACTTAATTTTCCTTCCATCGCCTTGTGGACATCGACAGTGTATGCACACAATAGGCAAGTGTTGTCTCCTTCTTCTTGTATCAAGCATAAGTTTGATCTGTTGCTTGGGTAATCTCTGTTTTATCGTTCTTTAGCTATCTTACTGGGGTATTTACTGAGTTATTGTTCTTTAGCTGTCACTTATTTTGTGGCAATCTCAATGAATCAAGACGAGTTAATACTTAAAAAATTTGTACTAGATGCTTAAGATATTTACTTAATATTTGTCAAGGAGTGCTTGCAAGAAACATGATTAACAGAAGCATGATTAGGATCTAGTGATCATTGCATTTAGATGGTTTCTTCCAAAAGGGTTTGGTGTTTTATTTCATACCTGTTGCATTTCAGTTTCAACTTTGATCCCAAGGGGCACCACTCGTCTTTGGAAGGGGGAGAACCTATGTGTTAGTGGGTTCGGGTGAAAAATTTAAAAAACTTTGCTCCTTCCAGTGGCAATAGCATCACGATCAAGGGATGTTTGTGCAACCTTAAAAAGATGCAGTAGTTAGCATTGAACTTTTTCTCCTTGAAAAGTAGGATGATCCATATTGGCAATGCTTGCACTTTATCCCCTCTAGATAAATGTGCATTGGAATGAGTAGAGCAAATTCCATGTTCGACGAGACAAAGCATTTGAATCATAAAATGTGAACATTTTCCTTCCTTTCAAGTGTTGGAAATGAACAGTAGTTATTTGGATGCATATACTGTAAGAATTTGGATGAACTTATACAGATGGAGTTTTCATAGGAACCTCAACTCACGACATCTTGTGTTGTAGTTATAATAGCTTAGAGGAAAAATATATACATACATACATACATACATATGTACATACATATATACATATATACACACATATGTACATATGTATGTGTATGTATATATGTATATATATATATATAATCTACTACACTTCAAGAGTGACATTCAAGTAATGAAAACCAAAGTATTCTTGGAGCCTGAAGTTCTACCTGTAACTTCTGTTTGTCAACTTTGTGCTAAATGCTCAGTTTTGTGAACGTAGATTTCGTTTTTTATGCTGCTGCTTTGAGTTCTGAGAGCAGTTTCTTTTTAGCATTACTTTATGGACTTGTGTTTGTTACTGAATAAAGAATTGTTTGTTTAGTTTATATAACTGAGTTTCATCCTTGCAGTTTTCCTTAAGTGAAGTTGCAGACTTACTTTTTAGATATCCTATGGGTTTTCTGAAATTTGTAATCATCAAGAAATGTTTGTCTTTGAGAATCTCTCTAACCTTCTTTCTGGTTTCGTGTCCTGAAACTTCCATTTTTCTTTCCTCATTATTATTGGTTTCTTTCATCAGTTATTGTTGTGAATTGCTACTGCCTTATCATATTCATTGTTGTTATTGTGTTACTTATTAACTATCTCAAAAACACAGGTTCTTCTGTGTTTGGGCAGAAGCCTGCCTTTGGTGGCTTTGGATCAAGTACTACTCAAACTAGTCCATTTGGAAGCTCATTTCAACAATCACAACCGGCATTTGGAAGCAATCTATTCGGTTCATCTATGCCTTTTGGAACGCCAAGTCAACCTGCATTTGGTTCCACTAGCACTCCTGCATTTGGTTCATCAAGCACTCCTGCATTTGGTGCCATGACCGCACCGTCGTTTGGTGCTACAAGTACTCCTGCCTTTGGTTCTACGACAAGCCCAACATTTGGTGGCACAGGCGTTGGATTTGGTCTGTCAAGTTCCCCTGTTTTTGGATCAACCACTCCAGCATTTGGTGCTTCATCTAGTCCAGCTTTTGGTGCCTCAACTGCTCCTGCTTTTGGTGCGGCTAGTACTCCCAATTTTAGCTTTGGGTCTAGTCCTGCGTTTGGCAGTAGCCCATTTGGATCTACAGCATCAGCCTTTGGAGCTCAAACCGCTCCTTTTGGTAAGTAATTTGACGTGTGCATAATGGATAAAGGTTTTAAATTAAGTAAATTCCTTGGGCGATATATTTTTCATCCTTCCTGAGTGATGCCAGTTTTAGCAATATCTCATACTATATATGTGCTGTTGCTCTTTTTACATATCCATAATGCAGGAGCTCAAGCTACGACCCCGACTTTTGGGAACTCTGGTTTTGGGCAGTCTGCTTTCGGAGGTCAACAACGTGGGGGGACTAGGGTGGCTACTTACACCCCGACACCTGAGGTAGATGGTGGTAGTGGTACACAGTCAGCTAGTAAGCTTGAATCTATTTCAGCCATGCCCGTCTACAAAGATAAAAGCCACGAAGAACTTAGATGGGAGGACTACCAGTTGGGAGACAAAGGTTTCTTTTTACTGGAACTTGTGAAAATCTTATAGTCCTAAACTGCTTGTTAAATCATATGAAATGTTTTATTTCTGCTTTATGAATTCCAGGAGGGCCAGCTCCAGCCAGTCAGTCTACAGGTGCAATTGGCTTTGGCAGTTCAGGCTTTGGATCCTCATCCACTCCTGCATTTGGTCAGTCATCTGCGAATCCTTTTTCATCCTCAACATCTTCTAACCCATTTGCTTCAAAAACTCCAGCCTTTGGTAGCTCTGGTTTTGGAGCTTCATCTGCGAATCCTTTTTCATCCTCAACATCTTCTAACCTATTTGCTTCAAAAACTCCAGCCTTTGGTAGCTCTGGTTTTGGAGCTTCATCTGCGAATCCTTTTTCATCCTCAACATCTTCTAACCCATTTGCTTCAAAAACTCCAGCCTTTGGTACCTCTGGTTTTGGAGCTTCATCTGCGAATCCTTTTTCATCCTCAACATCTTCTAACCCATTTGCTTCAAAAACTCCAGCCTTTGGTAGCTCTGGTTTTGGAGCTTCATCTGCGAATCCTTTTTCATCCTCAACATCTTCTAACCCATTTGCTTCAAAAACTCCAGCCTTTGGTAGCTCTGGTTTTGGAGCTTCATCTGCGACTTCATTTAGTTCTCCACCTTTTGGAGCATCGACTACTTCTAACCTTTTTGGTTCATCATCATCCTCCATTTTTGGCTCCTCAACTTCAGCATTTGGAGCCAGTACCTCCCCCTCTCTGTTCGGCTCCTCAAGCTTATCTGCTTTTGGATCTTCAACATCTATCTTTGGCACTTCATCTGCACAGGGAACTGCCCCATCATTTAGCTCCGGCTTAAATTTTGGCAACACTCAGTCCTCCACACCTTTCCAGTCGGCGGTACTGTCACTTGGACAGACTAGTTCTGCTTTTGGACAGACAACTTCAGCCTTTGGGCAAACCACCCCAGCATTTGGTCAATCAAATTTATTTAGTACACCTTCTACTGGCTTTGGTGGGAATCCATTCTCAAGCACTCCATCGTTGCTAAACACCAGCAACCCTGTAGGATTTGGTCAAACAACTGTGAGTTAATCATGAATTGAACTTCTTTTTCCCCTGTTTTTTTCACTTTCATTTTTCCTGCAACAAAAACAAACTAATACAAGGCTTCATGATGTTGAATAAGAGTATGACTAGACATCATGATGTTAAATAACTACGACAAATCTTCATTATGGTGATTCAAGTAGTTGGACAAGACTTACAGTAACTATTTTGAGTTTGAGGCAGTGTGACTAGGGCTTGGTTAGGAAAATGTCATGATGCTTGTGTGCATATGGTAATTTTGTTACTATTTATATTATGACCCATCTCATTGTCTAATACAAATGTAGATTCTGCAGACTAGGTATCTCTACAATTTTGATTATCTTTATCAAGAGAGCAATTGTAACAGTAGATGTTAAAATCTGTAGGCCAAATCAGTAGAAGTGTAACGTTTGAGCGTGAAATTTTATTTGCAATAGTACTGATGTATGTGTTTTGCGCGGGTAGTCACTAACAATTAAAAAGGGATCAGACAATTGTGTAAGGAACAAACTTTTTGTGGCAAAGTCCCAAAAATGGGTGTCTTATTGGCGATGTCTTTACAATTGGAACTAAACTGAATGCCTCCAAGGGGCGCAAGCACACGAGTACTGAAAAGAAATGTTTAAGTCTAAACTAAGAAATTGAAATTACATATTCTCTGTTCGAGAGTGTTTGATTCGGGGTCCTTTTGCTCTGTCTTCTCTTCCTTTTTATATTCCCTTGACGATTCCTTCGTGATCAACCGCTTAGAAATTGCTTGATTGCTTTATAACTACCCACTTTCTTTATGGTAGCTAACTTGTCCTGGAACTGCCGTCTCTAACTGTTGCCACTATTCTTTGTCGTTTAACCGTCTTCAATTGAACTCCTTGAATCGTGGATCGTGATAAGGTTACTCGATAACTGCTTCAATAATTGCACTTTTGGATAACCATAACATCTTATGTTTGCTAAGATCCTGGGCGATTCGAAGGTTTGGGCGAAAATAGGGTCATAGCTCTGGGCGACCGTAAGGCACTTCATTCGCTCAGATTTTGGGCGTCTTGCAAGCTTGGACGATGATGTAACCGTGTTCGTGGGCTTTCATTGCATTCATTAGTAACCCTACTTGGGCCTTTATCCTGAATTTTTCAGTTGGGTTTCATTCTTTGGGTTATTTGATTTGGGGATTCCTTAATTGGACTTCATTTTCTGGGCTATTCGATTTGGGCTGCACTTTTAGTGTGTCAACAATTACCCCCCATATGGCAGAATTAATACCAATTATTAATCTTTGCCATATTTACTGTGTTTCCCAAAAACATTTGAAATTCCCAAGAATTTCAATCATTATATCCTTCCATAGCCTGAAAAAGTGTGACGCTACAAACCCTTATAAACCTCAAAGACACGCCATTTCGCTGTACCACTAATTCACGTATCATTATTTCGCGCTTCTTTCTCGCCATGCCACTGTTCTTCTTGCTTCTCTGCTACGTTTCTCGAGCAAACCTTAACAAAACTGTATTTCGTTCCCAATGGCTGCTCCACAAACCCAATCTGACGACTCTTTTAGTTTCGACGATTTCTAGAAAATCCTTACTCGGCTATATGTAAATTCGAACTTTTTTGCACTAGCCAATGCCGAACTTAATGAGTTCCATCTGGGTCCTTCATTCACCAATGCCGAAGCCGTCGAATAAGTGGCGATGGGCCAACTGTTTCCTTGTACTCAAGGCCCTCCATTCTTGAACTCTTTGCCGCTGAGGCCTATTCGCGAAAAAGGTATTCGCACTTGGCCTAAATCTGATGTTGTTTTCCTTAGATGGCATGCTCGCCTTGTGGGCCATGGTCCTACTAATGCAATTTTTGATCGTGCTAGGATTTCTGATTTATTAGAAATCTCTCTTCAACCCCCAATTTTTGACCCAGCACTCTTTCCTATTGCTTTAAGTTTTTGGTCTTCTGAATATAATACTTTTGTTTTCCCTCTTGGTCCCATGTCAATCACTTTAAGGGATGTTGGGGCCCTGATAAATCTTCCACGTTTGGGCGACACCATTTTCCCTGGTATTTTGATTTCTGGTGTTGCCCCAAAATTTGACAAAAAACTCACCGAGTCCTATTCAAGCTTGCAAAGTTGTCATAATCACTCAAGCGTTGAGCCTTCCCACGCTGAGCGTGTGACCTTTCTTCAGATATGACTTTGTAAATATATTCTGTGTGCGCCCAGTTTGAAGCTTCTATGAGCTATTTACCCATAGAGCTCGAATTGGCGAGTGGTATGCCTTTGAATTTGTGTTCTTTTTTTTTTGCTGCCCTCTATAAAGGTATGGCTTCTCTTCAATTTCAATTGAAGAATGATACATCTCCCACTGGCAGTGGGTCTCTTTGGTTCGCTCAACTGTGGTTGAGAGCCTATTTTCCATCACTTGGTGCTCTATCTGTGTCCCTTCATTCTGCTAGCTGCTATGGGCTAGCCATTGACCTATTGAGCCCTGTAAATATGTCCAGAAGGGACATTTTTTCATTTTTTTATACTTTAAATTCAATTCCTTCTTTCTTTCCCTTTCCTGCTCATTTAACTTCAGATTATGTGCAACCTCTATCCACCCTGGACAGTGCGAGCGTCTCTCTGTTCGTTTGGGTTCAGTTTTGGACTGGGAGGGAGTTGTTCCATGATATTTTAACTGAAACCAATGCCAAAGCTGGGGTTGAAATATATGCTCCCCAATTTTTTGCTCACCAACTTGGTTTTGGCCAAACTTAGCCTGTTCCCCCTTGTTATTCAAAAAATTTGATAGCCGTGCCGGGGTGGAAGAAAAAGGTGGGGCACAAGCTATAGATGCTCGTAATATTCTTTTGACGAGTAACTTTTCATTAGCCCCCTTCAATCCTAGCCGTGCCGTTCACCCCCTTTTTGAACAACTCTGGCCATCAGTGAAGCGTAGATTGTTTGCAATTGATGCCAATCGTGCTTTCCATTCACTGGATCAGCTGAACATTCCTTCCACTTCTCCCATTTTGGTTACCCCTGTGTCCATTATGAATCCTTCCTTCCTTGCTCGTGCAAAACAATCTGTTCGTCCCTCTACTTCTCTACCTGCCAAACCTACTGCAGCTAAGAGCGCCCCAAGCTGCAAACGGCCAATTTCAGCATTTTCCATTTTGGAGGATGATGATGATGATGATGATACTCCTCTCATCGTCAGAAGAAAGGTAATCTGATGTAGGATAGATTGAGGGATTTCAATAAGAAGAAGTAGCCAGGAAGAAGTTGAGAAACCAGGGGAGAAGAAGAAGAAACGGGGAGGAGAAACAGAGAGAGGGTGGGAGGAAGAAGGTCGGGGAAGAAGAGAAGAAAACTTAACCAAATATTATTTCATTCATCAATTCATTGTCTACTGAAATTACAATTGAAAACCATATAAATAGTAAAAGCATAACCCTACCAGTGATGGGTTTGGGCCAAACCAATAATACAAGCCCAATAACTAGAAAAAGTAAAATAGTGCGATAATAATATAAGTGATGTCCGCATTAATTCTCCCGGAGTGGAAGAAAAACTCGACTCTGTCGAGTGAACAAATGACAAAGAGCTACCGTCAATCTTCAATGTCTGAACTCATACCACGGTGGACGATCTTTATGAAGAACCAAATATCTGAACTCCACGGTTGATAACAATGCAAATGGCAACTTGTCCTCAAGAACATGATCCGACCAAGGCGGATGATCCCTCATTTTAATCAAGTACCGACATTGGACTCCAAATAACAAGTACTCCTGCAACTCATCTCCAAAATCTTCACATGATTGCGCATAATGTGGAGCACAATAAGAACGTTGATCTACCCAACAATTAAAGAAGCACCGATTCTCTCCATCAATGGTTAACACAACCTGTTCATCTAAAATTACATCAATTTTATCTTTGTGTGCTGCGACAGGTGGTATTCGAATAGACATAGCAAAAGATTCGGTGTGGGAGTTCTCAGGTAGAGATAGAAAATGATCAACAAAAGTGTTAAAATAGTCATTGTAGGTATCGAAGTCCTTAACAAATAAAATAGGGTGATGGTCATGATGTGATTCATTGACATAGGCATTTTGACCAACATGCTTTGAAATTTTAAAAAGACCAGCATTACACACTTGCAATATAACCTAATTCCCAATATTAAATTCAAAGTGTTGTTTATGCCAATCAACTTGAGGTTTATATAATGCTTTACTTGTTTCAAATTGTTCACTGATTTCAATATGCAAGCTATGAAAATGTGATACAACTACCTCAACTGACATAGACACACAAACATGTGGGTGCATGGGAATAAGGTCTATTGGCGCCACTATTTGTTACCTCAGGAATTTGTCCTTTATTTGGATCACGAGGCCCTCCGTTACCTCAACTCCCAGAAAAGATTAAGTTCTAGCCATGGTCGTTGGGTCGAATATTTGCAGGCCTATTCATTTGTTTTAAAACACAAGAAGGGCATAGAGAACCAAGCAGCTGATGCGTTAAGTCGTCGTGTCTCCCTTTTGTCGATCATGAGTGTCAAGGTCATCGATTTTGAAAGACTTAAGGAGGATTACGAGGCGTGTCCCGATTTTAAAGATATTTTTCTTAATTTACAAAGGGATCAATCAAGCGCCACAGATGGCTTTCGACTTGAGGAGGGTTATCTCTTTAGAGCCAATAAATTGTGCATCCCTCGAACTTCAGTGCGAGATTTCATCGTGTGGGAAATTCATGCGGGAGGGTTAGCCGATCATTTTGGACGTGATAAGACCATAGAGGAAGTTGAACGTCAATTCTATTGGCCTAACTTGAAGAAAGACGTGGCTAAGGTTGTTAGTAATTGTAATACTTGTCAATTGAGTAAGCAGAAGAAGCAGAACATAGGTCTATACACCCCTCTCCCTGTCCCTAATTGTCCATGGCAAGATGTTAGTATGGATTTTGTGTTAGGACTTTTGTTTTGACCATCAATTTGAGGTTGGTCAGTGGTGGA